TACATTGGCCTAGCTAACTAACTTTGGAGTGTTTTAGTGTTAAGATCATGAGAAGCAACTGCAGGCAAAAAATGGTAATGGAACTTAACATCATATTACTTGCTCATAATAGGACATTTTTGTGGTAACACTTAATAAATGAATGTGAAACTACATATAATTGTTTCATGAATTCTAGCTTAAATATGATAGTAGTTAAAAATTTGGAAAAATTAATGTTTATGTGTTTGTACATGTTTATCTTCTGAAACCTGGTTTTGAATCAATGAAAAAGTTAATAGAAACAGACTTTAGAGCCTGATTTCTGGGTTAATCTCATTACTATGACCATCTTATAGTAGGTTAGCTTCAGTAGTTGAGTGAAGATCATATGATCTTTGCTGTACATTGTTACTTGTATTAACCTGTCAGGTACACCTGTCACCATATGGTGACAGTATTGGAAGTGTGATATACAAATTAGGTCAAATTATGCAAATAATTTGAATCTTCAGGTTGTACTGAACTGTTGTTTCCATATGTATCTTGGGCTATTTCAAATGGTTTTAGAAATATACTTGATCTAAGTAGACATGTATATAAACCTGAATATACAAACAAAAAAGTATGTGCATAGGTCTTTTACTAGACTAAGGTGAACCCATTTGTAATCCATTTCATACTAAAAGAAATAGGTTTGGTAAAGATAGTTAGTACCAAGACTGGGATAAATATTAAGATAAAAACTGTCATAGAACTTTTAGGAACATCTAAACAATCCTGAGTCATTCCTTTGTAGTTTTAAGGAACCAATATTGAAATGTTGGTGAAATTCTGTTTTGAAATGTAGAAAAATAGTGTTTCGCAAAACTCTTTGTTTTGAAACATGCTGTATGTGACCATTATCCTAAATAAACTGCTTTTCTGTATGAAAAAAAAACAAAACATTTTCATGAAACCTACTAATTGTGATATTAGTTTGTAAGAAGACTGTTTACATGTAAAATATTTTGGTAGAGTACATCAAATATAAATTATGTCATCTTGGGTGCTATTTACATGTATTCATATAACATTTATTTGTTTTCACCAGGTGGAGCAAGGTTATGGAAAATTTTAAGCTTTACAGTTGCTATCCCAGGTGTTGCTGTATGCATGGCTAATGCTTACATTCGAGAAAAAGAGCACGAGCATGATGAGAGACCAGAGTTTATCCCATATGATCACCTCCGCATTCGCAATAAGGTACTAGTAATTATAGCTACATCTACAGCATACAACTATTTGTGTGAAATATTAGTGATTATTAGGACTCTAGTTACTTCTATTGATACCAAAACTAGTTGTTAGAATTCTTAACTTTTTGAATTTGTGTGTTAGATTTCTTAAAGCGTTAGTTAAGCTATTCAAGTGCAATTGGTATATAGTTTTGACTGATGACCTGAATAAATTCCTTCTCTCATATTATTATTATTTATGCCTAATTGAATAAGGGACTTTAATACTTGTTCCTTATATATATTGCAAAGTATGAAGAAATTTTTAATTGTTCACATATAATTTCCAACATTATGTAATTCTTCCACTTCATTGGCCTTGTTGAGTTAAGACTGTGTAATTCATGATAATTAACATAGTGTATGGAAAACAAGGCTCCATTTGATCCTTTAATGCTATCCTTGTACACCTAAGTAGTAAAAATTTACTCTTTAGAGGAAATTATCAATTTCTCTCTTAAACTGTTATTAAATACAGTCTTCTACAGTTGCTAAAGGCAAATCATTCCATAACCCAATCATACTATTAAAAAAAAAAAACTGGAACTTTAATATAGCCTCTCTTTTCCAAATCGTAAATGTGTGTGTCCTTTCATTCTGTTATCTTCAGAATAAAGCACAAAGAAACTTGAGGCCTTTAGTCCTATTTGAACCCCAAGTTTTGTAAACTTCAATAAGATAACCCTTTATATCCTGCGAATCATCCTAATAACCCTCCTCTGAACCCTTTCCAGTAGGTCAGTATATTTACTTTAAAAATGGAAATCAGTTGTGTTCATTTAGGTGGCACATACACCTTCCTGAGTGATAGAGAACTTGTAGCATTTTAAAATACTCATTTATGAATATACCTCAATATAAAAAAAAAAAGGTGAGAGAAAAAAATGCTAAACATTTCTTTTCTGACTAATTTTGAAAATCAGTGATAAATACTTTATTGTATTTCAGAATTTGTAGTGCATTCTGATAATAAAGTTAGAAAAATATCCTTTACTTTTTAGGTAATAATTTTAAAAAATATTTTACTTTACCAATACATTTTTGCATTAGCTCTGATGAAGCAACAATGGTGAAATATTAATTGAAATAAGTTTGTTGTTATTGTCTGGAGAGTAATGGTCTTTTTCCTTTCTTCTTTGTTGTCAAAATCATTAATAAATAAGTAGTGCTACTTCAGTTTAAACTTACTTTTTTTGTAGGGAACAGCATTTTCTCATTCTATAAAAAGGTTATTTTAAATAGGCTAGAGTTATTCAAAACTGTTCTAGTCTTTAGTAATGATAATGACTTATGAAAAAGTGAGTTTTTGAAATACATTGTTAACTCAAATTTTAAAATTTATGTAATAAAACATAATCATATTTACATTTTTTAATTTTATAATGTCCATGAAATCATCTTGAAACAAGATGATAATTTTTCCAGTTTTTTATTTGTCAGATTATTCTTTTTTATTGACATATATTGTTAAATGAAGAGATATTCCAAAAACATTGCAAATACAGCCTGAAAAGTGTGTCACCTTAAGTCAGAGGAATAAGGCATTAATGAGAGACAGATGAGCATATTATACCAAAGCAGAGTGACTGACAGTGTTCTAGGTCAGCAATTCTCAAACTGGGATCTACAAGGGTACGCAAGGGGGGGGTCTGCAAGTTGTATCCAAAATTTTGTAAAAATATTTTTAAAATATATGATTTATAGAATAAAAGTATAATACTTAATTTTGCAATACAGCTTTGTATGTACACAAATTTTTTTTTTTTTTAAACAGAAACATCCATAGTTTTGGGGGTCTGCAAACAAATTTTAAAAGGGTTTTTCAGGTTACTAAAGTTTGAGAATCACTGTTCTAGGTTATATTATGTTCTTTTGATTCACAAATTTAAATACTGAATTGGATATTATAAAAGTGGAATAAAGAGAATATCATTCAAAACCAGTATATTGAGAATAATGTCAAAATGTGTGCACACACACACACACACACACAAATGCATACATAAAAAGCTATAAATACAGAAAAAAGTTTTATGTTTACTCATGAAAATACATGATAAAAATAGTGTACTTATACAAAGTGGTGTATATTCATGAACACAGTTTATATAGGTCAATCCCAGTATTGATTTAATTACGGTTTCATATTTTCAGTAAAAAAAGCATTTAACTTTGTGCACATTTGAAATGTGAAAGTAAAAATATATAATAGTAGCCAAAATTGGCATACTTTAATA